CGCGCGGGGGTGGTGGTGGGGGCCGTGGCCAACCTGCTCTACCGCTTCGCCCTGGAAGGTAGGGGAGCCCTTGCCCCTGCCTTGCCCTGCTCTTCCCATCCTGGCGGGGGTCTGGATGAGGCCTTTTTCCCACAGGGATCTCCTACATCCTCTTCGAGACCCGCATTGGGTGCCTGAAGCCAGCAGGTCCCCGCCGAGACCCAGCGCTTCATTGACTCCATCAACCTCATGTTCAAGAACTCCATCTTTGCCACTGTCCTGCCCCGATGGAGCCGCAAAGTGCTGCCCTTCTGGGATCGCTACCTGGACAGCTGGGACACCATCTTCGCCTTCGGTGAGCGGTGACGATGGGGGCCCGGCGCAGGGGGATTGGACTCCCTAAGGATGCTCAGAACTGGGGCAGTCCCCGGCCGCCTGTCCCCTCAGCCACCCTCGCTCTGTCAACGCCGGGTCCTGCTCTCTGTCCCTGCAGGTAAGACCCTGATTGACCGAAAGATGGAGGAGCTGGAGGGGCAGGTGGAGCGGGGCAAGGAGGTGGCCGGCTGCCTGAGCTATCTGCTGGGGCAGGCTCAGCCTGGACGAGGTCTACGGCAGCGTGGCTGAGCTGCTGCTGGCCGGCGTGGACACGGTGAGAGCTGGGCGGTTGCTGCCGGGGGACCCCCGCTGGGCTCCATGCCCAAAGGGGGATCCACAGGGCCACACTCCCCAGCCCCTGCAAGCTCCGGGCTAGTGGGTGAGAGGCAGATGCTCCACCTCGGCAAACCCTTAGGGACCAGGCAGTATAGATCCTATCCTTCGCTCTGCTCCCTGCCTCAGTTTCCCCCATGACCGATGTCCCTCACTCCTGGCTTCCCTGTGCGCTGGAGCAGAGGTTGTCTGGTGCCGTTCTGGTGCCATGCTTGGCACAAAGCTGCTTGAGTACCGGCCCCACCTCACTCACTCCCCTTGGTGTTCTGCTCCCCCAGACCTCCAACACGCTGTCCTGGGCCCTGTACCACCTCTCCCGAGACCCAGGCATCCAGGAAACCCTGTACCAGGAGCTGAAAGCTGTCGTGCCTCCTGACCGGTTCCCTGGTGCTGAGGATATCCCCAAGATGCCGATGCTTCGGGCCGTTATCAAGGAGACGCTGAGGTACATTTCAACCTTCCCGCTGCCCCAGTGCCCTGGTCAGCAGGCCCTTCCCCAGGGGCAGACCCTTCCCACCCCACTGGGGGATGAACCAGCCAGGCCGGGTGCACGGCTGGATTTCAGGATTGCATCCATCCACCTTTTCCCTGGGAAGGCAGGCGGAGCTGCTTCTGCAGGAGATGCTCCCCCTTGTCCTGCCTGTGTCTGTCTCCCTAGGGGTCCCCAGGTAGGTCCTGCACCCCCACTAACTCTCCCCATACCCCAGGGTCTACCCTGTGGTGCCCACCAACGCCAGGGTCTTCTATGAGAAGGACATTGTCATCGGAGACTACCTCTTCCCCAAGAACGTGAGTGGGAGCTGTGCCTCGGGGTCTCCCCTTGCGCTCAGTGTGGCCGGGCAGGGGTCATTAACCCCCCCCTCGCCCCGCAGACCCTCTTCGTCCTGGCGCACTACGCCATGTCCCATGACGAGACCTACTTCCCCGAGCCCGAGCGGTTCCTGCCCCAACGCTGGCTCCGGGGCCACGGCTCCCCCCACCACCCCTTCAGCTCCATCCCCTTTGGCTCCGGGGTCCGCGCCTGTGTCGGCCGCCGCATCGCCGAGCTGGAGATGCACCTGGCCCTCGCCCGGGTGAGTCGGGACCCCCCACCCCGGGTAACTCGCCATGAGCTGGGATGGGGGCCCCAGAGAGTCCCCATGGCGCTACCACCCCGCTTCTCCCCACAGATCATCCAGGCGTTCGAGGTGCGGCCAGACCCCCGTGGCGT